GGCTGCAACACTACACTATGCGACTGCAACACACTGCGACTGCAACACATTGCGCTATGCGACTGCAACACCCTGTGTCATGGAACTACAGTTGCCTTGTTTACCTTGGTCTATGTAACTAGTATGGAAGTAAGAAAAATACAGTGCCAGTACCTTGGGTAAAGGACAACACCCATACTCTCCAGTTTTCAGCTTACAGCACGTGTTGCCATCTGGACATTGGGATTTACCATCAGGACACAAGATAGAGTCAGCGGGGATTGATCGTGTTTTCTTGACCCATTGCATACTAAATTCACCCTTATTACATTTACCCCGAGAAACATCACATGTTGTACCATTAGGACAGCAATGTAGACCATCAGAGCAGCATACTGCCTGAAATAAACCACACGATCACATTTTGTTGACCAACCAGTACTACCTTGGTTGGTTGCATTTACGTGTACATGTACGTGAAATACAAGCGTATCAAACAGTAGTATATACCATGCTCATCCAACTTGGTATCCATACCATTCAAAGCACTAATCCCTCAACATCTTAAAAAATGGCGATTGGCAGATATCTTGTTTTACATTTGTATATTGCTTTTCACTCGGCCAGTTTTAGTTCACCTCAGATCCGAAAGAAGTTGCTGAATGTTGTGTACTAAACACACGCAACATTTTGGCTCATTTCATCTGGAGAAGTTGATTAGAGCATGTAATTACAATGTATGGTGAATTGTAGTCATTTATACATTATTTGCCTAGATGGAACAAATATACCTTTAGCATTGGACAGCATCCCCATTCTCCACTGGTCAATTTACAACATGTACTTCCATCTGGACATTGAGACTTTCCATCCGGACATAACATAGAGTTTAATTCACTCGGGGTAAAATACAAAGGAGAAGCAATAGCATGCGACAGCACCATGAATGTAATGAATAACAAAATCATCTGTAAAATAGAAATAAAAACAAAATACTTGTGCAGTTAATTTTGTGTTATTGGATAGACAGAGTTGTCCAGACTAGGACAATGGAAGTCTAACATATGAGAAAGCAGAGGATCAAGCAGGTGTAAGCACAAAATCTAGTCTAAACAAGCAGCCTCTCAGCTGTTAGTAATCACCACAAAATGAACAAATCTGAGAGAGGCCCACCTATAGTACAAAAATGTACCTATATGTACATTTGTATAATATCAAAGCAATCAAACTTGTTTTTAACAACTTACATGTAAGGTAGAGATGCAGTTTAACTGACAGGTATTTTAATTAGTTAATTAGGACCCCAAGATGACCTCCCTTGTCCACAAAACTATATTTTTGGAAAGCTTATTGTATGAATTTTAAAATTTTGTTAGTATTTTTTTTATGGACACTGTAGTTTGAAATATGCACAAAAATGTGCTTTTTTGGTCAAAAGAGATTTAATAAAATAGCTTCTCAACCATGCTTCAGTTTCCTGTCAAAATTGGTTTATGGGTACACCTGTTTACTATGAAGAAAGTGCCGTCTTGAAAACTGTCTACCAGCAGCAGCTTAAATTTCACTACTTCAAGTTTATGTATACATTAACACCCAGGCTAGTTGTCTGTATGATTGTTGTAACACTGTTCAACCAAAAATATCTTACTATTCCACTATTCACAATTATTTGTGAACTTTCAAAACAAATGGTCAAAGCCTTTTACGAGCTATTTTTTTTAAAGTTCTGGGATGTGCACTAAAAAGAAGCCGAGATAATTGCTAATTTGCATAACAATTCACTCAGTAAGAAGTTTGCTAAATGCTCATAATTATAATGGCTGTAACAGTTCCAAATTTAAATGTATTATCGTTTTGTAAAAAGTTAAATATGGTGCATAATATGGAGATCCAGTCATTACTTTTTTTCACCATGTTTCTTTTTTATTATTTATGTACAGCCTTGCTAAATCTTGCTAAGCATTCAAAGGAGAGAATGTTTGCACCTGTTATCTATATTTTAAAATCGTTTTTTGAGTATATTCCACTATTCACAATTCTACCAAATTTCAACAGTCTATACCAATACTGTTTGGATAATAAAAAGAAAAAAAACAAATTTCACTCCCAAGTGCCCACGAACCTGCATCTCTAACTTAAACAAGTCAAAAATATCTTAGTATATTTATATACTGTTAATAATATTATACAAGCATCACTCATTGATCTTTGCATACCCTTGCTATCATTACACTATTCTGTATTTACAATACTTGTATTCTATTGAATGAACAAATACATTGTTCAATAAGGAGTCTGGCAACATTATTACTAAAGGTACAAAGTAATTATTATTTAGCTATCATTGCACAATATCTTAATTCACAAATCCAAGTCAAGCATTTCAGCATATGGTATATATTTGAAGGGATAATCTTGCTTATCAAGTACTACCACTGGTTTAGAGAAGATATAAATTTGATGAAATTTAGTTAAATTCATGTGTATGGGAAATAAAATCATGTTATTGCAGTTATATATGGATGCGTATAGCAACACGATTTTAGGATTAGGGGGAATCATGCAATACAAAGCACAACTGTAATTGCACCAATTCATTCACACCATGCCATAGTTCAACTGAGGACACAACTACTATAAAGTCAGGCGGGACCGGTTAGCATGGGTGATGAAACGAAAGTTAACCCAAACAAACATTGTCTGTTCTTGTATGTCGCATAGCTTCCGTCTTTATGAATTAGTGATAACATTTGCAAGAAACTGTTGAATCATTTGATTCCTGGAACAGAAGCAAAATCTCATTGAAAACCTGAATGGAAGCGCAATGCCCAAATGTATACCACTACAATTTTTTTTCTGTATTCCGACAGTCGCCCGTGACTTTTAAGAATGGCAAAACACTGCACTCTTTTAAAGCTCAATGTTTAATAACAAAATAATTTCACTTTCGAAGACACTCACTCACTCACTCACATACTAGTAGTACAGATAAATTGAAAATAAAATAAAATATGGTCTGGTGAATTTTAAAACTTCCGGGAAGGACAACGGATATCATGTGGATTTTTGTTCTTACCGGCAGGCTTGTCAACTTCCTGGTTTTGATTTGTAAAGAGGGTACAAGGTTACAGTGCACTGCAGGTTCTTATTTTTACACTCCGTCACAGTTTATTTTGCATAAGAGTGTATGACTACCATTAGACACGTTACACGACCCTGGGATACAGAATAAGTAACTAACTCACCTTGAGAGTGTCCTTTGTTCCACAGAGCAGAGCACTCAAACGACGAGCTCAGACAATGTGCTGTGACCACGACTGGGGTCAATGAATGAGGAGACCTCGTGATTCAATCATGTGACTGTGGCTGTCACGTGTTGTAATCTCATTATCCTTCCCAGAGTTCCTTGCGGTTAGATCACCGAAAGTATGATCATAAAATGATGGCTGAAACTTTCTAGAAATGAAATTGAACCTGAACTTCACTGATTGCGGCATATTACACAGCATAACTTGGTGATTTTGTTGAGAAAACGAGTAAAATACTTACCGTCGCTAACACTGCTTTTGGAGGCAGCCATGAGAGGGCGCCTTCTGATCTGAATGGAACGTTTCGACGTCAGTCGTCAGTAGCCCATCGCCAAGCAATAACGTCCCGTTTACGAACAGATAAAATAATTTCAGCCATTCCTTTACAGAATAATCCTCAACAAAACTTAGAAACATTTCATAGACAAATACAGGCTCCAAAATTATGTCTATTTCAAAACAATTCAACCAACAACCAGTTTGACGCCACAATTTCTTGCTGGAGCCCGAGTTCTACGCGTGATTTTATTGCGTTCAAATCTGTTCCATTTCAAACTGCGCATGCACACACACTGTGGTTCATTGAAATGCACACTAATTAGGTAACTTGTCACTGATAAAAGTCACCGAAAACATTTTGAGCAATAGTACTAGAGTGAAATATAAACGTGCCTCTGCATTCATGGTAAAGAGAAAACCTGTGTTTACTTTCAATAGTTAGCTGGAGTCTGATCGAAAATGTGTCTCAAAAATTACCTTTACATTATTTTTCCATGCAACCCCCCCCCCCTGTATCGAACTGTGCGATGAAACACCACAAGACTTTTACTACGCGTATTATTTGCGTATTTTTGTTATTAGAGGGATCTAGTGTTGATTTATTACTACTGGAAAACAAGTTTTAAAATATTTTATCGATAGCTGATAACGATATTTCCGTAAATGCACTGTCAAGGGTGAAATAGTTATAATTTACAGCAGAAAATAATTTCATGCGGCGGAATAACGGTTGCTAAGGTGTTACTCGGTTCATCAAGCTGACGGCCCTGTCGATCGCTAGGCGAAGACATATAATAATAATATAATAATAATAATTTTATTCAACACGAAAATCTACTACAGAAAGTAATTTTATGGTTGTAAAACAAGAACAGAAATAATACTTCACACAACTAATATCACAAATAGCACATTAAACATGAAGAAATATGAAGATATGAAGAAAGGAAAGCACTTCGTGGTATTGACAGCGAACACGTTCTATTGCCACTCCGTTTGTGCCAAGGAAAGTAAAAGTATGAGCTTCTCACTGTGAAAACAGCCAGAATCTACAAAAAAACGCGCACGCTTTCGTTGGGTTCGAAAATCGAACACCTGCATTGCAATGGTTTGGTGCGCGTTTTTGAAAGTAGTACCACTGTGATGCATCGACCAATCAACGACAAGCATAAGATCGCGTGGTGGCAGAGATATATTTGTGATAGAACTCTGCCTGGGGAGATTGGTGTAATCTATGAGGTCATAAAGCGATCCGCGGTGATACTGTCACCACAGTCACTCTACTAGACCTAGTAGAGTGACTGTGCTGTCACGATTGGGAGGTGGGCGCAACGTTTTCAAATCAGACAGAAAACGAAAGAAATATGCAATCAAAGTCACCGTGTGCGAACTTGAATATGTCATCCAAATATACCTTTCACTCCAGTCCTTTCATTTTCTCTAAGGAAGTGCGCTCTCGTTAATGAGTCAACATTTCTAAAACTCAAAAAGTCTGATTTGTGTTTTTAAAGGGGGGGGGGGCAATGGTTATTTTCGTTCAACATAATTGCAATATTTTTTTGTTCGTACAATGTGAATTAAAAATAAATTCCGTAATTCTGTAATCACAGGCTAGACGTACAACGTAATCAATCAAATATTTTTTTTCGTCGTACACTGTAAAAATGTGTCATTTTTCTCGGTACGTACAAGAATTTACATCCAAATAAAAAAAAAGCCGTAAAGAATAAACTAGGGAAATTACATTTTCAAAACTGTAAAAACGAATAGATGACAAAATTCACTGCAAAATTCAATTTTCACTGTAAACTGTAAAAACGTATTTTTTTTCCTTGTAAATTGTAAAAAGCCCGTTTTATTTCCCGTAAAACTGTACCAGCTACCCCCTTTGCCCCCTCTTTAAAGTCAAATAGTATACAGAATCGACGCAGATGCTGAAAATTCCTAGAATGAAGTTGATCCAATAATGATTCAACCACACTCGTCACTGGCATAGACAATATTCCAAGTTTTGAGACAGACACTTTTCTGTTGCTATTTTTCTTATTTATACATAAATTGCTTTGAACATACGTTTTATGGTATAAACATTAGTTAAACCATACAACTAACACGTATATTCGTCTAAAACGAAATGGACCTTTTTCTTTGATTCCATTATCTTCGCCTAAAACGGTATATTTAAAGCGCGCGGTGGTCGTCGCACAGCGTGTGTTCGATTTTCATTTAAATAAACAATGTATTTTACACGCGTTGTATACGTCGCTATGAGTCCCATATCGAACAGGACGCGACGCGACGACTGCCGCCCTTCAAAGAAGATATAAACAAATTAAAAAGGAAATCGGTGGCATCGGTGTCGCTGGGTGTATATGATAGAGGGAAGTTGTGCAACCAAATTTGCCGAGTTCGCAGTTTTTCGCCGAGAAAAAAATAACTAAGGCAAAAACTCACATTATTCCCTATCAATAATCCACCCAAAAAAAGGAATATTTCTACTACTAGTAATTCTTGTGTTTTTTCGACGTTTTCCGAAAAACCTGCGAAAGTAGAACATTCCAGAAGGGGTGAAACGGAAGAGCATCGCCAGGCGATAGACGCGGGGCTCTTTGGCAACGACCGCAAACGTATCGTGTCCAGACATTGGTTGGCCACATAGAGGTCAAAATACGCGTTCTATTTTTACGCGTTAAATGTGGTTCACCCGTTTCACCCCTCCGGAATGTTCTACTTTCGCAGCCTAAATCGAAAAACGTAGCGCGTGCTCGAATTTCATGTAAATAAACAATGTATTTTACACGTGTTGTATACGTCGCTATGAGTCCCATATCGAACAGGACGCGGCACGACGACTGCCGCCCTTTAAAATACCAGTTATTATGTATGGCATTGATGTTTTTGACGATGACGATGCTTCAAAATCGGCAATTAAAAGGCGATGGTCGTCACGCTGTGTTTTGTTCCCTATGGGTCTTAGAGCGATGTCTACAATGCGTGTAAAATAAATTGTATGATTACAAACACGCGCTGCACGGCGACCACGGCCGTTCAAGGATGTTCTTTTCTCAGTCTGAATATTTGTACTCATCAAAAAAGGCTAGGGGAGATACCCAATTGACATTTAATTAATTCAGTGTTTCATCACTTCAGACTGCGTTATGCTACTGATGAGGTCAAGTGAAAGTGACCAAAATTAAACTTGCTGCCACTATACAGCTGACTGTATATGCAGTTAATAGTTGATAAAGACTTGCATGAATTGGTTTCTAAAATGAGTGAGCAGACAGCAACACGACACAAGCAGTTGGGATTACTGACATCAAGACCCAGCCCAGAGAAAGTAACCCAGTTCAAACATTATAAATGCTGTGGGGCACTTCAGATATGAGTGTCCTTGTGGTTATGTTAACAAAGTATCATAGAGAAGATGGAGACGATGAAATCGGGGCTCAATAATTCACAAGTCTGTAGGAGATTGTCCAGAAGCAGTTAATATGTGACATTGTGAGATAAAGATGCAGTATTTTTGATTTACACTGAAATGTAATAATAATAATAACCTTTATTGCATAATCGTATCCTTATTTGGATATTGAAAAAGAATATTACAATAAAGATGAAAAACTGAGGAAGTAACAAAATGGAAGCGCTAAAATTGAAAAGAAAGGAAATAGTTTACTTATCTAGGGGCAGCTGGTAGTTTTTGAAATGATTTTCTCTGGCACTGAAACAATTATAGATGTACATGTAGCTTGCTAGTTTTGTTATTTTTTGTCTGTTATTGCTTGTTAGCATTGTAATCAATTTATTAGTATTTGTGTTCTTGCAATGTATTAAATTTATTTTCTTCAACATTTCAGTCTTCTCATTTTCATACAGCTTGCATTCAAGTAAGAAATGCATTTCGTCTTCAATCTCATTTTGCCACATTTCTACCACTGCAGGGATTTTTTTGTATCGTCCTTCTATTTCTAAATTATGGGCGCAAATTCTCAATTTTGTTAACGCTGCTTTATGTTTTGCATTTGTCACTGTTGTTAGATAATTGTCATACTGGCAATTCTTCTTTAGCAGTCTATATGTGCGCAGCTTATTCTTTTGGTTTTTTTTTTTTTTTTATTATCACCATACATTTGTTCTTGACTCTTGTTTTAATAATGGTGAACTCAATGATTCAGAACAGAGAGACTTGTATTATGTGATAGGGGGATTTGTCTATGCTTTTAGTAAGCATAAAAATGATTTTGGTTCGTGTGATTCGGGTGAACATAGAATATAGAATAGCACAGTAGATGATATAAATGATACAAATAGCCAGAAATAATTTCAAGGCTGATATAACTGATTTACCCGTTGGGGACTCGGTATTCATCAGAAACAGGGCTTTTAAAGGTTTAAATAAAATAAGGGCACATGGGATTCTGAACTGTTTCTTGGAGCTGCTTAGCTAGATATAGGAGGTCTCACCTATGAAGTTCTGCCTGTAGATAAGGGATAGCCAACTAGAATGGGTGAGCTGTTAGATGCCAAGCATGTGGTGAAGGACGTGAATGTCAAACATTATGAGGAACAACAAATCACCCACCAGATAGAGAGAAACCGCCTGTTTCTTCCAGTGTAACTGAAAGAAATATGGGTCCTCCCACTAATCAAGGAGACAAAAAACCAACTTCCACTGAACCAGACGATCAACACATCAATGTTTTGACTGAACCTGTTGCCAATGACCAATCTGCATAAAATAATGAACCTTCACAGGCTAAACCTTTAACCAGAACCACTACAGGTTGCAGGAGTCTGATGATCTAAAAAATGAAAATAATAATTATAAATAAATTAAAAAAACGCAATAAGGTCTTATTTTAATCAGATTGCATTTTGCGTTAAATACGCTTAAAAACTTCAAATTGTAATGAAATAAAGTACATTTCATATGTCGTTTTTGCTATATGTAGTATTCACTGGATGAATATAGAGCAACACGTATTTCACCAGCCATCAGAAACCACAGGATTTCAGAATTTTGTGCTGCTTTCAAAAGTTGTTCATTTTTAATTGTCAACCCCTTTGCATTTTGGGTGTAAAATAAACTGAGGGCGGGCAAGGGGTATTTTCGTAAGCTGCAATCAATTGTTTTTATTTTCGTAATAATTTTATTTAAATAAATAAAAAACGTAAAATCGTAGACATGGCAAGGTGTAAAATGTATTGCATTTTTTCATTATCTGTTAGTTACGTCAAATATACAACATTTCATTTATTCTAAAAGCGTGAATACATCATTATTTAAGAGAGAAAAACGTAGTTAGATCGATATTGGAGTTTGGCTACTAGTAGGTCTACCGTTTCGTGAGCCAGTAATTTTCAGTAATATCGGAGAATTTCAATAATTCTGTCTAAAAATCGTATTTAGATCGATATTAGAGATTTTTTGTTTCGAAGTTCCCCTGTTCTTGGACCAGTAATTCTTTGACAGAGACGTAGACTCTAAATACCAATAATTGTCAGAAGGGGGAATAATTTGATATCTCCAGTAGTCAAGACAAAATGGTAATTGTCCGATAGTAGACAGCTCGTTAATATTGACAATTTTTTGATAATTATATGGTGTAAAGGTGCAGCATCACGTCTTCTGTAGTAAATCGTTTACTTATGTACTAGACGACACTTTTTATCTGTTTTCTTTGTAAACGGTCAAAGGGAATTTAACATGAAAGTATAATATGGTCTTTCTTGTTTGTTCACTGCATACTTTTTCAGCATATTCTCTTTACATGTACAATTTGTATATCGTTATTGTCGTTTACAACAAATCATCAACAGACGTGTTTATGTTTATATGTTTTTATTACATCATCATAACTCCATATTGCAACGTGAACAACAGTAAGCTCCTCAATAACACCTTTCCAAATAAAAGAATGGAATATAATATTCAACTGTTGAAGATAACCAATCATATTTGATGTTTCATTTATAATATTGAAATATTGTAGATAACCAATCATATCTGATGTTTCATTTATAATATTGAAATATTGTAGATAACCAATCATATCTGATGTTTCATTTATATTATTTCTCTATTGTAGATAACCAATCATATCTGATGTTTCATTTATATTATTGAAATATTGTAGATAACCAATCATATATGATGTTTTGTTTATTATATTGAAATATTGTAGATAACCAATCATATATGATGTTTCATTTATAATATTCATCTATTGTAGATAACCAATCGTATCCGATGTTTCATTTATAATATTTCAACTGTTAAAGATAACCAATCATATCTGATGTTTTGTTTATAATATTCATCTATTGTAGATAACCAATCATATCTGATGTTTCATTTATATTATTGAAATATTGTAGATAACCAATCATATCTGATGTTTCATTTATAATATTCATCTATTGTAGATAACTAATCATATCTGATGTTGCATTTATATTATTGAAATATTGTAGATAACTAATCATATCTGATGTTTCATTTATATTATTGAAATATTGTAGATAACCAATCATATCTGATGTTTCATTTATAATATTGAAATATTGTAGATAACCAATCATATCTGACGTTTCATTTAAAATATTCATCTATTGTACATAACCAATCGTATCCGATGTTTCATTTATAATACTGAAATATTGTAGATAACCAATCATATCTGATGTTTTGTTTATAATATTCATTTATTGTAGATAACCAATCATATCTGATGTTTCATTTATAATATTCATCTATTGTAGATAACCAATCATATCTGATGTTTTATTTATAATACTGAAATATTGTAGATAACCAATCATATCTGATGTTTTGTTTCAATATTTATTTATTGTAGATAACCAATCATAACTGATGTTTCATTTATAATATTGAAATATTGTAGATAACCAATCATATTTGATGTTTTGTTTATAATATTCAACTATTATAGATAACCAATCATATTTGATGTTTCATTTATATTATTGAAATATTGTAGATAACCAATCATATCTGATGTTTCATTTATAATATTCATTTATGGTAGATAACCAATCATATCTGATGTTTCATTTATATTATTGAAATATTGTAGATAACCATTCATATCTGATGTTTCATTTATAATATTCATTTATTGTAGATAACCAATCATATCTGATGTTTTGTTTATAATATTCATCTATTGTAGATAACCAATCATATCTGATGTTTCATTTATAATACTGAAATATTGTAAATAACCAATCATATCTAATGTTTTGTTTATAATATTCATTTATTGTAGATAACCAATCATATCTGATGTTTCATTTATAATATTCATCTATTGTAGATAACCAATCATATCTGATGTTTCATCTATAATACTGAAATATTGTAGATAACCAATCATATCTGATGTTTTGTTTATAATATTCATTTATTGTAGATAACCAATCATATCTGATGTTTCATTTATATTATTGAAATATAGTAGAAAACCAATCATATCTGATGTTTCATTTATTATATTCATCTATTGTAGATGACTAATCATATCTGATGTTTCATTTATAATATTGAAATATTGTAGATAACCGATCATATCTGATGTTTTGTTCATAATATTGAACTTTTGTAGAAAACCATTCATATCTGATGTTTCATTTAAATATAGAAATATTTTTGATAACCAATCATATCTGTTGTTTCAATTATAATATTGAAATATTGTAGATAACCAATCATATCTGCTGTTTCATTTATAATATTCAACTGTTGAAGATAACCAATCATATCTGTTGTTTCAATTATAATATTGAAATTTTGTAGATAACCAATCATAACTGATGTTTCATTTATAATATTAATTTATTGTAGATAACCAATCATATCTGATGTTTTGTTTATAATATTCATTTATTGTAGATAACCAATCATATCTGATGTTTCATTTATAATATTCATCTATTGCAGATAACCAATCATATCTGATGTTTCATTTATAATACTGAAATATTGTAGATAACCAATCATATCTGATGTTTTGTTTATAATATTCAACTATTAAAGATAACCAATCATATCTGATGTTTCATTTATAATATTGAAATATTGTAGATAACCAATCATATATGATGTTTCATTTATAATATTGAAATATTGCAGATAACCAGTCATATCTGATGTTTCATTTATAATATTGAAATAGTGTGGATAACCAATCATATCTGATGTTTCATTTATAATATTCATCTATTGTAGATATCCAATCATATCTGATGTTTCAATTATAATATTTAATTATTGAAGATAACCAATCAGAGAGGTCGGGAAAGGCGATGTGAACCATGGAGATACAGAGAGTGCGTGTGGCAGTGCAGGGAGGTTGGGAGAGGTGGTGCAGGGAGGTTGGGAGAAGCAGTGCAGAGAGGTTGGGAGAGGCGGTGCAGGGAGGTCGGGAGAGGTGGTGCAGGCAGGTTGGGAGAGGTGGTGCAAGGAGGTCGGGAGAAGCAGTGCAGAGAGGTTGGGTGTGGCGGTGCAGGGAGGTCGGAAGAGGCAGTGCAGCGAGGTCGGGAGAGACAGTACCGAGAAGTCGGGTGTGCCATTTCAGGGAGGTTGGGAGAGGCAGTGCAGGGAGTCGGGTGCCTCGGTACTGGAAGGTCGAGATGGGCGGTGTGGGGAGGTCAGGTGTGGCTGTGCAGATAGGTTAGCAGAGGTGGTGCAGCAAGGTCTGAGGAGGCGGTACCGAGAGATTGAGTGTGGCGGTGCAGGGAGGTCGGGAGAGGCGTTGTGCACTACGGAGATACAGGAAGTGGGTGTGGCGGTGCAAGAAGTTTGGGAGATGCTCTACTTGGTGATAGGGAGAAGTGGTACCAAGAGGTCGGTTGGTCGGAAGAGGCGGTGCAGGGAGGTTGGGAGAGATGGAACCGAGAAGTCGGGTGTGCCATTGCAGGGAGGTTGGGAGAGGCAGTGCAGAGAGTCGGGTGCCTCGGTAGTGGAAGGTCGAGAGAGGCGGTGCGGGGAGGTCGGGTGTGGCGGTGCAGAGAGGTCGGGAGAGGCGTTGCAGCGAGGTCTGGGGAAGCGGTACCGAGAGATTGAGTGTGGTGGCACAGGGAGGTCAGGAGAGGCGGTGTGCACTACGGAGATACAGGAAGTGGGTGCGGCAATGCAGGAAGTTCGGGAGATGCGCTTCTTGAAGATAGGGAGAAGCGGTACCGAGAGATCGGTTGTGGAGGTGCAGGGAGATCGGGGGAGGCGGTAAAGGGAGATCGGGTGTGGAGGTGCAGGGAGGTCTAGAGAGGCAGTGCAGGGAGGTCAGGATAGACGATGCAGAGAGGTCGGGAGAGGTGGGGCAGGGACTTAGGAAGTCGACCTGATATCGTGAACATGTCTAAATTAAACGCGCAATTCAGGAAACGATGAGTATCCGAATACCTTACTGTGCTATATGAAAGACATGATAACACAGGCAAAACGGACAATTTAGTTAAAATCGGTGATATAGTCCTCGTGCACAGCGACACGGATCGACGAATTAATTGGCGATTAGTTGAACGACTGAAATATGGAAATGATAGAATTGTGCAATCCGTTGATATCAAAACTTCATCTGAACGTACAAACCGCCCTCTGATGAAACTGTACCCACTGGAAGTGTGTGCAAAGCCCGATGATGTGTTTTCCAAAGACACTCAAGAATCGCCTGCTGCTGAACGAGTACGAGAGCCTGAAATCATTAATCGCCGAGCCTCTACTAGAACAGCAGCTGATATCACTCGACTACAAATCCAGGACATTAATTGACATGTTAACTATTATGAACTGAACTGACTCTTATGACATTACTCTGATTCGTTTATGAAGTTTGTGTGATTTATATCACAATGTATTTCCAACTGCATGTTCAAATCTATATTTCATTTATCGGTAGTTTTTCGCCTTCGAATTTTATTATGTGTGTTTATTATCAATATTCATTTTTTGTTTAGTTTTTTTCCTGATTTTTATTTCATGGCCAGAGAAATGTCGGAAAATTGAGCTTGAGTACAATTTAGAATTCTGACAGAGATTTAGCCAGCCAATGAGATTGTTTTAATTTCAACCAATCAGCTCCTTTATCTGTTCATCAATCATGTACAAGGCCATATTCATTGTAACCTTTCAAAAAGAAGACCAATATTTACTTTGAGAATATAAATAGGAGACGAAACGTCTCTTCTTCAGTTAGTTTTTGGTTCTTTTGTTCGTTCATAGTTCGTTCAATAAAGTCATCTTTTGTTCGTTCATGGTTCTTTCATAGTTCGTTCAATAAAGTCATCTATTGCAGTTCATGCACGGTTTATTCTTCCATTCCAGAACTTGAACCTACTCTTTTTAACAATTCCCACAGAAAAGGGAGGTCGGGAGAGACGGTACTGAGAGGTCGGATGTGGCGGTGCAGGGATGTCGGGAGAGGCGGTACTGAGAGATCGGTTGCGGCGGTAAAAAGAGGTCAGGAGAGGCGGTACCGAGAGGTCAGATGTGGTGGCGCAGGAGGTCGGGAGAGGCGGTAATAGGAGGTCGGGAGAGGCGATACAGAGAGATCTGGTGTGGCGGTAAAGGAAGATCGGAAGAGGCGTTGCAGAGAGATCAGGTGGGGCGGTGCAGGGAGGACGAGAGAGGCGGTGCAGGGAGGTCGGGAGAGCCGCATAGTTCATTCAATAAAGTCATCTTTTGTTTGTTCATGGTTTGTTCATAGTTCAATAAAGTCATCTATTGCAGTTCATGCACGGTTTAATCTTCCATTCCTGAACTTGAACCTGAAGTCGGAAGAGACGGTACCGAGAGATTGGGTGTGGCGGTAAAGGGAGGTCGGAAGAGGCAGCACCGAGAGGTCGGATGTGGCGGTGCAGGGAGGTCGAGAGAGGCGGTAAAGGGAGGTCGGAAGAGGCGATGTAGGGAGGTTGGGAGAGGTGGTGCAGAGAGATCGGGTGTGGCGGTAAAGGAAAGTCAGGAGAGGCAGTACAGAGGTCGGGTGTGGCAGTACACGGAGGTCGGGAGAGGCGGTACTGAGAGATCGGTTGCGGCGGTAAAAAGAGGTCAGGAGAGGCGGTACCGAGAGGTCAGATGTGGTGGCGGTAAAGGAAGATCGGAAGAGGCGTTGCAGAGAGATCAGGTGGGGTGGTGCAGGGAGGACGAGAGAGGCAGTGCAGGGAGGTCAGGGAGAGCCACATAGTTCATTCAATAAAGTCATCTTTTGTTTGTTCATGGTTCGTTCATAGTTCAATAAAGTTATCTATTGCAGTTCATGCACGGTTTAATCTTCCATTCCTGAACTTGAACCTACTCTCCTTAACAATTCCCACAGTAAATGAAGGTTTGGAGAGACGTTACTGAGAGGTCGGATGTGGTGGTGCAGGGAGGTCGGGAGAGGCGGTGCAGGGCGATCGGGAGAGGTGGAATCGTGAGATCGGGTGTGGCGGTAAAGGAAAGTAGGAAGAGGCAGTGCAGAGAGAACGGGAGAGGCGGTATCGAGAAGTCGCATGTGGCGGTGCAGGAAGGTCGGGGAGGCGGTGCAGAAAGGTCGGGAGAGGCGGTGCAGAGAGGTCGGGTGAGGGAGTACCGAGAGGTCGGATGTGGCGGTAAAGAGAGGTCGGGTGAGGGGGTACCGAGAGGTCGGATGTGGCAGTGCAGGGAGGTCGGGAGAGGCGGTAAAAAGAGGTCGGGAGTGGCGGTACTGAAAGATCATGTGTGGCGGTAAAGGGTGGTTGGGAGAGGCGGTACCTAGAGGTCGGATGTGGCGGTAAAGAGAGGTCGAGAGAGGCGGTATAGAAAGGTCGGGTTTGGCAGTGCCGGGAGGTCGAGAAAGGAGGTAAAGGGAGGTCGGGAGAAGTGGTACCGAGAGATCGGGTGTGGCGGTAAATGAGGTCAGGAGAGGCGGTACCGAAAAATCGGGTGTGGAGGTGGAGGGATGTCAGCACAGGCAGTACCGAGAGGTCAGATGGGGTGGTGCAGGGAGGTCGAGAGAGGCGGTACCGAGAGGTCGGATGCGGCTGTGCTGGGATATCGGGAGAGGCAGTGCAGGGAGGTCGGGTGAGGCGGTACTGAGAGATCGGGAGAGGTGATAAAGGGACGTCGGGAGAAGCGGTACCAAGAGTTCGGGTGTGGCGGTAAAGCTGGTCGAGAGAGGCGGTATAGAAAGGCCGGGTTTGGCGGTGCCGGGAGGTCGATAGAGGCAGTAGAGGGAGATTGGAGAGGCGGTACTGAAAAGTCGGGTGTGGCAGTGGAGGGATGTCAGCAGAGGCGGTACCAAGAGGTCAGATGGGGTGATGCAGGGAGGTCGAGAGAGGCGGTACAGAGAGGTCAGATGTGGCTGTGCTGGGAGATCGGGAGAGGCAGTGCAGGGAGGTTGGGTGAGGCGGTACCGAGAGATCGGGTGTGGTGGTGCAAGGAGGTTGGGAGAGACAGTGCAGGGATGTCGAGAGAGGTGGTGCTAAGAGGTCAGGTGTGCCGCTGCAGGGAGGTCGAAAAAGCCGGGTAGGGAGGATGCAGGGAGGTAGGGAGAGGCGATGCAGGAAGTTCGAGAGAGGCAGTAAAAGGAGGACGGGAGAAGCGGTACCGAGAGGTCAGGTGTGGTGGTAAAAGGAGGTCGGGAGAGGCGGTATCGAGAGGTTGGGTGTGGCGGTCAAAGGGGTCGGGAGAGGCAGTACCGAGAGGTCGGATGTGGTGGGGCAGAGAGGTCGGGAGAAGCTGTGCTGGGAGGTTGGGAGAGGCAGTGCAGGGATGTTTGGAGAGGTGGTACCGAGAGGTCGAGTGTGGCGGTAAAGGGAGGTCAGGAGAGACGGTACCGAAAGGTTGGGTTTGGCGGTGCCGGGAGGTCGGGAGAGGGGGTACCGAGAGATCGGGTGTGGTGGTAAATGGAGGTCGGGAGAGGCGGTAACGAGAGATCGGACGTGGCGATGCAGGTCGGGAGAGGCGGTGCAGGAAGCTTGGCAGAGGCGGTGTAGGGAGGTCGGGAGACATGACACAGGGAGGTCTGGAGATGGGAGCAGGGAGGTCGGGAGAGGCAGTACCGAGAGATCGGGTTTGGCAGCAAAAGAAGGTCGGGAGATTCGATATCGAGAGGTCGGATGTTGTGGTGCTGGGAGGTCGAGAGAGACGGTGCAGGGAAGTCGGGTGTGATGGTGCAAGAAGGTCGGGAAAGGCAGTGCAGAGAGGTCAGAAGAGGCGGCAAAGAGAGGTCGGGAGAGGCGGTGCAGGGAGGTCGGGAGAGGCGGTGCAGGGAGATCGGGAGAGGCGATGCCAAGAGATCGGGTGTGGCGAGAAAGCGAGGTGGGGAGTGGCGGTATCGAGAGTTCGGATATGGCGGTGCAGCGAGGTTGGAAGAAGCGGTGCCAGAAAGGTCGGGAGCGTCAGTGCAGGGAGGTGGAGACGCGGTGCAGGGAGTTCGGAAGAGGAGGTGATGAGAGGTCAGATGTGGAGGTGTAAAGAGGTCGGGAAAGGCGGCGCAGCGAAGTCTGAAGGGGCGGTACTGAGAGGTCGGGTGCTGCGGTGCAGGGAGGTCTGTAAAGGCGGTGCAGGGAGCTGGGTGTGGCGGTGCAGGGAGGTCGGGAGAGGCGGTGCAGGAAGGTCGGATGTGGTGGGGCAGGGAGGTTGGGAGAGGCAGTTCAGGGAGTTTGCGAGATGCGGTATCGAGAGGGCGTGTGTGGTGGTGCAGGGAGGTTGGGAGAGATGGTGCAGGGAGGACAGAAGAGGTGGAGCAGGAAGATCAGGAGAGGCAGTGCAGGGAGGTCGTGGAGAGGCGGTGCAGGGAGGTCGAGAGAGGATGTGATGGGAGGTCGGATGTGGTGGTGCAGCGAGGTCTGGAATGGCGGTGCAGCGAGGTCTGGCGAGATCGGGTGCGGCGGTGCAGGGAGGTATGTAAAGGCGGTGCAGGGAGTCAGGTGTAGCGGTGCAGGGAGGTCGGGAGAGGCATTGCAGGAAGGTCGGGAGAGGCAGAACCGAGAGATCGACAGAGCCGGTGCAGGGAGGTTGGGAGACGTGGCACAAGGAGGTCGGGAGAGGGGTGCAGAGAGGTCGGGACAGGCAGTACCGAGAGGTCGGATGTGGTGGTGCAGGG